TGTTTTTTTCATGGCTACGCCGGACCCAGACCTGGACATTTCCGGACATGGAACCGGACCCGTGTCCGGTAGTTCCAGTCCGTCCGGAATTCCGAACATGTCCGGACCTGCAGAAATGAGGGGATCTTGACGGTCCGGGAATGTCTGGACCATAAAAAAAAAAAAAAAAAAAAACTAAAAAACTCTGGAAAAAAAGTATGTTATGCACAATAACAATGCAAACCACTTTTGCCTCAGAGTCGTGTCAGAATTCCTAACCAAACTTGAGTTAAAAGTCAAAAACTAAAAACATTCTTAAAAAAAAAACTTCAAAAACTAATAGAAGGTTACGAATTATTAATAATTAAAAAATTGGGGTTGTCTAATAAATTATTATAGAGAGAAAGCATGTCTGGACCCCCCAAAAAAGCATAAACGGGCCGGAAAAAAAAACCAAAACAATTTTGGGGGGCTTGGCTCCTCAATGAGCAAGGGTCCAGGACCCTTTTTTTTTGTTTTTTTTTCTTCTCGAAATTTGGCAGATCGGGACCTTCCAGACCGGATGTCTGGAGTCCGGACTGCATCCAGACCGTCTGGACAGCAGTCCGGACGTCCGGATCGTAGCCATGTTTATTTTCTTGTTTTCTGTTTTTTTTGTTTGTTTCTTTTGTGTGTGTGTGTGTGTGTGCGTGTGTGTGTGTGTGTGTGTGTGTGTGTGTGTGTGTTTGCGTAAATGAGGTGGGGAAGGGACTGATTGTGGTCTGGACCTGGGCGGTCTGGACGTTGGGATCGTAGCCATGTTTTTGGACGTTCGGATCGTAGCCATGTTTTTTTTCTTGTTTTCTTTCTTTTTTGTTTGTTTCTTTTGTGTGTGTGTGTGTGTGTGTGTGTGTGTGTGTGTGTGTGTGTGTGTGTGTGTGTGTGTTTGCGCAAATGAGGTGGGGAAGGGACTGATTGTGGTCTGGACCTGGTGCCCGAGGCAAAAAATACAAGTAATACTCAGTTTGCAAATTCAGGAGCCGCAAGGTCTCCAGCCTCACTCAGGAGATACTCGCAGTAGGATTTTTTTACTTATTTATGGACGTAATTGCGGTCAGATGCATCCAGGTCTTGGCTGTAATTGGAGTCAGATGCATTTTGAAAAGTGCCTAGTGCGAGTATGCCCTCAGCAGAGGAGCCCGTCCCCTGTGAAAAGTGGAAGACAAACAGAGAGGAGCAAAAGAAATGAAGCCAAAGAAAACACCGCGTGTCTAAAAATAATACTTAAAGAGAAAGTGTACAAAGAAGTCTTTTTTTTTTTTTTGAACTGTATCTCTATTTTAATGCCAAAACCTTGGCAAAAAGTAGCAACAAAATTGTAGTCTTAGTTAAAGAGAGGGGGGGGGGAACAAAATGGAAAAGCAAAAGAGAGCCTTGGAGAGGAATACTCAGCACCATAGCTCCTCTTTTCACCTTGTAGGGTGAGTTTTTCAATCAGGAAAAAAAAAAAGAGAACAGCCTTAACTGCTTGTCCCCCACATACCCAGACGTGAACCATGGAACGGTGACCTTGGCCGACGGCAAGGAGCATAACATCCGCGATGCAGTCAGTGATGATGCTTGGTAAGGTTTCCCTCTCTGTGCCCCACGCCCTCCTCCTCCTCCATTTCCTCCTCCTCCTCCTCCTCCTCCTCCTCCTCCTTTTCCTCCTTTTCCTCCTTTTCCTCCTTTTCCTCCTTTTCCTCCTCCGCCGTTTCTGCCGTTTCCTATGCCGTTTGCACGGTTTCCTACTCCACTCCTTTTCCTTCTCCTCCTTTTCCTCGTCCTCATCGTCCTCCTCCTTTTCCTCGTCTTCGTCCTCCTCCTTTTCCTTGTCCTCTTCCTCTTCCTCTTCCTCCGCAGTTTCCGCCGTTTCCTACGCCACCTCCTTTTCCTCGTCCTCATCCTCGTCCTTGTCCTCGTCCCTTCTTCTCCTTTTCCTCCTTCCTCCGCTGTTTCCGCCGTTTCCGCCGTTTCCTACTCCACTCCTCCTTTACCTGCTCCTCCTTTTCCTCCTCGTCCTCCCCTCCCTCCTCCTCCGCCTCCTGCTACTTCTCTTTTTTTTTTTTTTTTTTTTTTTAAAACGGCCCCAGATTTGCCAGGCTACATCTGGTACTACTATGTTGTTGCAAGAAACTTTACCGTTGTTGATTCGTCAACGCCCTTCCGTACGATTGGTATCTTTTTGCGATCGTGACTGCGTTTTGCATCTATGTCATTGTGAGGATTGTTGTTGGCTCACATCTTCATAGAACATCTATTACCCAGTCGTACACTCCTTCCGTTGGGAAAACTATTAGAGCAGAGAGAACAGAAAAAAACACATATCGGGTCGCGTTGCAAGCCACTTATTTTTATTATTATTAATTTGTTATTAACTTATTACTGTTATGAAGTTATTATAAGTATGAAGCTACTATTCAAGTTAATTGTATTCAACGTTGGCAGGCGCAGCTCAGCTGGAAAACGTTGGTAGACCAGGTCACTAGGGGCCTCGTCCCACTAGCAGCGTCGAGTTCCCTCAGCCGCCCGAATGTGGACGCGTTTGTGGAGATGTGCAGTTGAGGAAACTCGATGTGATTTCTGCAGATCTCCACAAACACGTCCGTTTTCCGGTGTTCAGGAACACACAGTGCTGCTGGTGGGAGGAGGCTAACTCGTGGCGAAGGGCATACACGCACTAGGACTTTCGTACTTCTTTCTGGATGGAATTGCGTCCAGATGCATACAGGTAGGTGTGGTCGTAATTACGGTCTGTCTGATGCATTCCGGAAAGGGCTAGCCTTTGAGTATGCCCGATCTTCCTAGAGGCTCTGCCTCCTACCTAATTTGGAAGGGAGGAACTAACAATAACAAACAGTGCCCTGAACAGGGTGACACTACCTCCCAAATTAGGTAGAGGCAGAGCCCAACCCCTCAACTCAAAAACTGCGGCCTGCCTTCCTATGGCGGATAAACAACGGAGTGTCCAGGTAGTGCGATGAAGCATATCCTACCAGCAGCTATCTTGTTTGCTCTCTGCTTTTTAGAATTTTATTTTTATAACAGTACGTTTCTTTTTTCATAAAAAAATAAATAATTGGTAATTCTCGAAGTACAGTCAAGTACTGTAGTAGCACGTTTTCAACTCTCTCGTTATAATATTATTTATTATTATTAGTAATTGATTGATTGACAAATTTAGTATTTAGTATTTATTATTTACTACTTATTTTCTGCTCGTTTCCTCTCTCAAAAGTGTGTTCAGTTTTCTTTCCCCCGTTGATCAGATTACATGTTCAATTCTCTTCATTTGCCCTACCCATCCCCTCCTCCCCATCCCCTCCCCCTCCCCCTCCCACACCGACACCCACTCATACTCTCTGTTGGTTTGCAGGCTGAATGACGAATTTATCAAGATTGTGCAACAACGAGGAGCAGCGATCATCAACAAGCGAAAGCTATCCAGCGCCCTCTCTGCTGCCAGCTCTGTGTGTGACCACGTCCGTGACTGGATGCTGGGCACAGCTGAGGTGAGGAACCTCCACATGCAATCAATCAATCAATCAATCAATCCAGCAATTGAGTGATCAATCAATCAAACAATAGATTAGTCAGTCGATCAATCAATCCATTGATCGGTCAAACAGTCAATCGATCAATCAATCAATGGATTCAACCAATCAATAAACCAATCAATCAATCAATCAATCCAGGAGGTTGGACTCTGTGTGTGTGTGTGTGTGTGTGTGTGTGTGTCCTGAAGAGTTGTTCGGCATAAGACAAAAGGAGACCAACAAGAGCATGAAATCACAAACTCGCTGGGCGTGGCGTCAGACTCAATGGTGAAGAAGAGAAGGATGTTCCTAAGGGACGCTGGACCCGGTTTCCAGCAGGTGAGGCTCCCCACCAATAGATGGAGCGGCCCACCAGACAAAGCCTCAATCTCGGTGGTTCTCTTACCACCACTGGGTTTTCACGGGAGGCGTCTAAGTTAAGGAAGCTGTTGCTTTCCATGGCTTGCGGCGATTTTTTTTGGAGTAGGCTACTTTCACGACTTATTAGCCTCACACAGCCTGAAAGGTAGTGGTGGTTTAAGGGCATGAAACCGACCTTACATAGACACCTTTTTATTAGACACCTTTTTTTTTTGGTGCTTTTTGTGTTCTTTCCCAGACACATTGATCCGCACCGCATGGGAAATTGCAACGCATGATAAAATCAAGGCCAATTTGGCACGTGGTTTACATACTTCATCACAAAATCCAGATCTACTCAGGTTTTTTATTATATCACAGATAGGTGCTTCCATTGTTATATTGTTTTTCGAACTTTTTTCCAAGACTGATATAAGTGTAGACATAAGTTTCACTTTATCGCCAAGCTCTATCTTCGAGGATATTCTCAAATTAATACAAATATCATGGAAAATGGCAGGCGTCATTCTTGATAAGGAAAAGGAATTCCGCTTCGCGGTACAACGAAGCCGCTATGGTGTCGGGGGGGGGGGGGGAAAGGCTCAGGTCCGGCATGTCTACCCCAGCATGTTGTTTCTGCTGCTGCCTCGTCCAGCGTCATCGCATAGGGTTCGCCCGTTGCGGGTTTTTGTCTTTTGAAATCGCTAATACGACTTCCTAAAGCCGTGCCCGATTAACAAGCCACGAAATTTCAGGAAAAATCGTACGGGCCAATACAGGAGCGCCCAAATTCATTCAATTAGAATCGTCGTATCAAATTCTATTTTTTTTCCACGGCCGATAGCTGGGCCAAGTACTGGTGGTTTGAAGAGCAGCCCCCACTCTCTCCGAATAGTGTGAGATTGGGTGAGTGGAATGTGCAATCACCGGATCGGCCTCCGTCGATAATGATAATGAGCAGGTGGTGGGCATGCATTCCATAGTCTGGCAAAATTAATAATAAAATTTATAAAAGTAAATCGTCTGTATACGTGACCCTATGGGCGCTCTTGCACTTTCTTTTATTGGTTTGAAGAGCAGCCCCCACTCTCTCCGAACAGTGTGAGATTGGGTGAGAGACATGTGCAATCACGGGATCGGCCTCCCTCGATAATGATAATGAGCAGGTGGTGGGCATGCACTCCGTAATCTGGCGAAATTAATTATAAATCGTCTGTATACGTGATCCTATGGGCGCTCTTGCGTTTTCTTTTGTTGGTTTGAAGAGCAGCCCCCGCTCTCTCCGAACAGTGTGAGATTGGGTGAGTGGAATGTGCAATCATGGGATCGGCCTCCCCCGGTAATGATCATGAGCAGGTGGTGGGCATGTATTCCGTAATCTGGCGAAATTAATTATAAAATTCATAAAGTAAATCGTCTGTATACGTGATCCTATGGGCGCTCTTGCGTTTTCTTTTATTTACTGCGGCTTCTCAGTCAACTGCTGACTCACTCGATGACCCGAACTACAAAGCAAATAGAATAGAGAGAGCCGTAAAAAAAAAAAAGAGTGAAATCATGTTTTTAGGATGGGAAGGAGTAGGTCTCGCATCATATTTGTCAACTAAATTAATTAATTTTTGGTTTACATGACTTCGAGCAAATAAAGCAGCAGCTATTAAAACGTAATGCGTGTGTTTTTATAACTGTAGGAATATTACTACTGGGAAGTTGATGGGCTTATCATGAGCTGGGTGGGGGAGGATGGTGGTTTCGGGATCCCGTAGAAAATGCGTCTTCGATGCCTTGGGGGTCCTCACATCTTGGATCTGCTGCCTGCAGACACTCTGTACGCTTTCTTTTGTGCGAACCCTAATGGTTGTGGTCGTTTCAACACTTCTGTTAGTCTCGTGCCACGGATTAACAAATATTGAGTGGCGGCATCAAGATCTGAGGCACATTGAGCAAGAAGCAGATACTGGACGATATTGTGCAAATCCCCTTAACAAAGCCAAATTCGACACGGAAAATCCCTGTCGAACACTCAGCGGTGAGGCGATCTTTCGAGCTTCTGCTCTTCCAACGCCAACATCCGGCAAGCGCGAACCCTATGGAACACTTGATCAGATCAGATCCAATGGATCCTTGTTGTTTTAAAAAGGCTCTTTCTTCTATGTAAAAAGATATGCTGATGATTTTGTTATTGCCATAACAGCAGGATCTCGACCCGACCAGATTCTGTCGCAATCAAAAGGTCGGTGACTCAATTCTTCCTATCTGAAGAGCTTAAAGCCTTAAACCACCAGTACATTCCTAGAGTCGTGCCCGATAGCGCGCCACAATTTTAGGAAACGTTCGGGCTACTACAGGAGCGCCCAAATTCATCCGACTAGAAACCTTTCTACTCTATTTTTTTCGGTGGCCGATAGCTGGGCCAAGCACTGGTGGTTTAAACTGGAGCTTAATCAGCACAACGGGTGCGAAGCACAAAAAAGTCGTAATGGGATTTCTCTCCGAAGAACCCAAATTAGCGCAAAGCGCAGCCATAGAGCATAAAAAGGGGTCAATGCCTGCCTGATGGTGAGACCTACAAGTCAAACAGGGACGACTCGGAAGAAAGTCGGCCATAGAGATCCGGGGTCGGGGGGGCCGTGTGGAAGGGCTCTCTCGCTCAACGGATCAAACGCACGCGGACTCGCCGAGGGATCAACAGGCTTACGGATCCCAAGAGTTTTCATCGACAGAGTCGTTTGGCACCTCATCACTAATCTTCATTACTTCCTCTTATGAAATTGCAGGTGCTGGTAGTATTCTTCATATTGATGCTTTACGGTCTTTACGTCAATACGGTTCCAATGATCCATTGGGCATAAACTCTTATGTAGATAAAAATAGCTTTACAACCTTTTTCGATGGGCTTTTAAATATTAAAGCCTAACCAACATCACTCCCACTGTGCAATGTGGCATCCAACTCTCACACAATTCGCCGAAACGGCGAACAATCTGGCGGACACTGTAAACTTTGTGCCAGTTTCTTGTACGAAGTGCACACATCTTACCATAATTCTTTGAAAGCGACACCTTGTTTTCATACTGTTTACAAACGATGATTTTTTTTATTTTTTTTTTATTTATTATTATTTTTTTTAACGAAAGGATGAGTTAGTTATTCCTGATTATGATTTCTTTCATGGGTGATTTTTGTCTTGTATGCAGGGCACATGGACCTCCATGGGAGTTGTTTCTGATGGATCATATGGTGCGCCGGCTGGAGTCGTTTACTCCTTCCCCGTGACGACGAAGGATGGCGAATGGACAATCGTGCATGGTAAGGCAAAAAAAAAAAAAGAAAAAAAAAGAAAAAAAGACAAGGGAAAAGAAAAGATGAAGAAGAAAGGAAAAAAGAAAGAAAGCAAAAGGCGAATGGTTGACTGTGGGAAGTGAAAAACAAAGGAGGGAAAAAAAAAAGAAAAAACTTCAGATCAGCCAAGGAAGAACCAAAATTTCTATCATGGTTTACATAGAGAACCAATGTTGTCTATCATTTTTTGCATAGATAATATTAGATTACCATTTTTTTTTTTTTTTTTTTTTTTCCTGATCTGAAGTTTTTTCCCTTTTTTCTCCTTTCTTTTTCCATTTTGGTATTCTGTGTGTGTGTGTGTGTGTGTGTGTGTGTGTGTGTCCAATTATACCCCAGTGATAATCCCACGGTGTAATCACCATGCCCCCCATATTCATCTTGGGATTGAGTTGCTCATTTTGGTATATCTTGTGACAAGCGGAGATGGGTGGGAATACGACAAGTTATTTGTTTTTCGTGAGCGGAGGGAATATGCGCCCCTTTGTGCCAGGTGCTGGATTCTGTGGGTCTTTGGGATGACCTGAACTGTGCAATGTTGTGTATATACCTTTTTCTTGGTGGTCTTTTGCGCGGCCTTTTTTTTTCTAAATGCTCCCCCTACCCTATCCTACCTTTTTTTTCTAATAATAGCACGCAATTCGGGAGACGGGAAGGTCCACTGTGGTGTCGACAAGGTAGCACGTAAAAGGGAACCCCGCTGGCTCCGCATGGATTCTTGTGCTGGCAGGAGGGGTGTAGCCTCCCCGAAAAGCCCTTTTTGCAGTCGCCACAACTCCGGCTTGTCACAGGGGTTTTGAGCAAACACAGCCAGCCATAGCCCACAAACAAGTCCTGAGCAGGAATGAGGATGGTATACCGCTTCTTTTGCCGCCTGTGCTTCCTCAGCTTCCAGCATGAGCGGAAAGTCCACATCGACTCCGGTCAAAAATTCTATAGTCGCCAGGACCTATGTCAAATCACCAATTCGCCGTCGGCCCGTCGCCACAAACTCCGGCTCATCAGAGGGGTTAAGAGCACACAAAGCCAGCCATAATAACCCACATACAAGTCCAGAGCAGGAACGAGGATGGTATACTGCTTCTTTTGCCGCCTGCGCTTCCTCAGCTTTCACCGTGAGCGGGAAGTCCTCGTCAACTCTGGTAAAAAATTCCCAATCTGCCATAGTCGCCTGGACACACCTAGGCCGAAACCGACTTCCGCCAATAGCGCCTCCGAATTCCTGCAGTCAACAACACAAATCATTCGCATATCTCAGCTTAAGTAGCCGGTACTAGAATACATACGTACGTCAGCGTGAGCAGAAAATCCTCATCAACTCCGGTAGAAAATCCCCAATCCACTATAGTCGCCTGCACCCCCACCATATGTGTATGTCAAGGGGTAAACGGGGATATCAGGTGGCGGGGCGAATTGCTTTCCCCCCAATCAGTCAGGGACCTACCTTTGCAGGTAATTGCCCCCATCTATCCGTGGCTTCCTCAGATTCTTGTTCGGTTAGTAACTTAGTACCCCCCCAGGGATTGCCGGCGGCCCGGTGGGCTTAGCACGTCTGCCACAAGCACTCCAGGTCAGATCAACTTCCCGACACCCGCACTCCAGGTCAGATCAACTTCCCGACACCCGCGGGGTTATGGGTTGGGTGGGGAATTTGGGCGGCCTTTTCAGCATCGTTTTCTCACGGCGGTGGGCTTCATTGTTTTTTTTTTTGTTTCTCGTGGCATCTTCCTGGAGACCCGCCCGGATTCGCTGATCCTGAGGATCGAACCCATACTTTCCTCGGGTTCCAGGGCAATTAGTAGTCCCAGTTTTATTCCAGACCTCCTATTCGCATGGGACGGTGGGCAGGGCCGCAGGAGTGGGGCATTTTCCGCAATTCGGGTTCCGTGCGTTATCTGGTCCCTCCCTTAGGATGATTTCTGGATCTGTCCTCTCACTTACCTTCCCTGCCTGCAACGGCTGCTTTGTATATTTGGTCAATCGTCTCTCACTTAGGATAATTTCTGTGTGTTTGTGTGTGTGTGTGTGTGTGTGTGTGAGAGAGAGAGAGAGAGAGAGAGAGAGAGAGAGAGAGAGAGAGAG